TCTATTACCTCTATGAGTTTGTCCCAAAGATGAGCCTTTCCTATAAAGAGGGAGAGGCCACAGATAAGTGAGAATTGCTCGCTGATAAAATTGGCATTCTCATCCAGTGCCATAACAGCAACTGCAGTATGGTCTGGAGAGACAGAAGATTTTTTTTTGCCTCACGAGAGATACTCTGAAAAGGATAGAATAAAAGGCAGCACAACAGAGACTGCAACAAGAGGCCCTATCCAACTTAATTAGGGCAAGCTCAAGGTTGGATTTGTCCTTGTCAAGAAGGTTGGAAGTAGCAGACCCAAGACTGGAAACACGTTTGTGTAGTAGACAAAGGGGAATCTTTGATTGCATATCGTTAAAGGGGATGAGCCGTGCTGGGAAGATTTCTTGTAAAACATGCGTGAACACCTAACACTAACATATGTATAACAAGAAAACACATCTTCATAATTTCAAAATGCACGGAAATATGGTAAAAATTATACTTTGCACGACCCTATTTCACTCCTTCCGGGAGCAAGAGTCAAACTACAGCTGTCGGGTACAGAAAGATGTCTGAAGAAATTCCCAAGAATCGTGACGTCTAGGATGGAGTCCTTTATCCGGCGACTGTTTACTGTTACGCAACAACGCGTTGACATGTACATAATGCAGTAGCGTTAGCGTGTGCAATCATGTCGAACTCAAGCGATGATAATTCCAGCATTGATGCTTTTTTTGATCACAGCGATCAGTTGTCATGTTCGTTTTATTCATTTGACAAAAAAAGTGACATTGAAGGAGCTGATAAGGAACAAGAAATATTGCCTTTGTGCGACCGCCAGAGTTCCTCTCTGTCAGTCTGGTTAGAAGGCGCTCTCCTGTGGTGGGACTGCGACAACAAATTTATTGAATCCCCAGATCCGTTTGGTTGAAATATACAACCAGGTAGTTAAACTTAACACCTCGAGTCAGAACAATGGAGGGAAACAACGGTTGGACAATTATGTAATGTCAACCTTGTTCATTTTATTCGGATATTTAAACAGCACGTCTTCAACAATCCTTTAATCTTTGGTTCCTCTATTTACTTGAAATTCATTACTTCACCGAATATTGAAACTCTGTATCAGTGTGAATCAAGCTCTGCTGATGCTGCTCCGGTATACTGCCATAACTTCAACTTCTACGTCAGTAACAAGCCCTGCTGCAATTACCAGTATCCGCTTGAGCACTCCACCAGTTTCAACTGCGCCATTTCATAAATACATTCCTATAATGCAATCGGAGTCTTTGCTAAGTACGTCATCACATTCTTAAAGTTTACTTTATCATATTGTGAGGCTTCACGAAATCATAATGTGTAACAGTGGCAGATGAAGTTCAAAATTAATTTATAATCAATTTGGAGATGCTCCAAATCATTAATAAGTAAGAACTACCAGACAGAAAATGTACCTCTGAGATCTTAAATAAATCAGAAGACAAGGAAGTTTCTTACCTAACGTCGAGTAACACAACTTATTTGCGGTGACTAGAGTGAGCATGTCACGCTCAGCTTTTTATATGTTCTCCCACCATGCATCCAAGAATTCTTTTGGGTTCGATAGTTGTTATCATGTAGCAACTTATGGTGGCGCTCTTATGCATTTCCTGTCATATTTATTGAACTGCCTAAATAGCCAAAATCATCTCTTTAGAATCAACTGAGACATAAAATTATTCCATCACATAAAGGTGAGAACGGTTAATTAGGAGAATCAATTAATCAATGTTCGGAGTTAATCACGTGTTCTGTGACATGACGTCACACATTTAATAGCTTCCGTTGCTATGCACATGCATACTGTAGATACCGGCTCATGACATGTGGACTCTCTAAGGCATAAATCATACATCAATTAAAGCTATGCACAGGTAATCAGCAATTATAATTCATGAAAGTTTTAATGGTAGAACTTGCTCAAGAATTAAGTGAGACAGACCATACCCTCGGGCATCACAGCTTATCAGTTCAAACCAGAATACACTTGGGAAGAAATTTTGCGACCCGAGGCTGTTGGCCACAGGCATGTCAGCGACCCGGAGGATCGACAACCAAACACTGACTGGTCATGATTTTATTTTTTCCTGTACCATTATAAAACTTTGTCTTTCTTAAATTGTCCTACATTGGCCATTTTGATAGCTGTAAAGTAGAAGTATTTTTTTGTCCATAGTTATAGGCTAGCCTACTTCGTCATAGTTGGTGTTCCATTCCAACAATTTTTGCTCACCATGCACTGCGAGTCACTTGCTTGGCATCGACGCATCGTGTGCGTGACGACTGTGCAGCATTAATTGCACCAGAAAATAGTCCATGTGCACCAGTGCAATATAGTCCCATTTTACATCGTTTACAAGTAGTACGTGTATGGGTATACATGTACGTGTCAGTACTGGTACGTGTACATACATGTAAACCTGCACATGTATTTGGGATTTTGAGTCCTCATAAAAATCTGATTGTGTGTTATCCACAGATCTAACCTACAAACACTGGTGTGAAAAGTCGCTTGGGAATCTACAAAAACTGCTCTCTGGGGAATTGTTTTGATTGCGAGAACAGCCACCAGCAACACAGTTTATCAGCATTCTTTCGAAATTCACTATAGAATTCACTATAGAAATTATTACACATGTATGACGCAATGCAAAACAAAATGAACAAGATGCATCAAGTTAGTTGTCCAGTACTGTAGCTCTGCCCCGTGTTAAGAGAAGAGCACTGGGAAACAAGACCAAATGTGGTTGACTTGACATGTACAAGTTACCTACCCGACTACGCGCCAGAGCAGAGAATATTATTCTTGCGCAGACCGATCAACTATCTTGCTGGAACTATGCAGTCTTGTCTGAAAAGTCGAGTCCGTCTAATGACGTCACATTATTGCCAAGATTAATCTGCTGCCCTCATCGACCGATTTTGATAAGTTTTTGCGAAGAGCCCGCGTGGAGACCGAAAAAGCACACAGGAAACACCAATTTTTGCTGCTTTAATGACATAAAAGAGGGGGTAATCCAACTTATTGTACATAAGACTGTTGAAAACTATCATATAACATCAACTTAACCCTACATGGCCCATCCCCTTTAACAGAGGACACTATTCCTTAGTCACCAGAAGACTCATCATGAGGATCAGGGTAAGTCTGGACTGGGCCCTGTTGTGTATCCCAAGAGGGATTGCATGAGGTTTCTGATGAAGGTAGAGTGTCTTTCAGGTTATGCGAGCCAGCGCTGACAATCGATGCATGTCCACGCAGGAGAGGGGAGTCCTGGATGATGAATGTGGAAGTGGATCGATTAGAAAGAAGGCCAGGATCTGGAGCTGAAAAAAAGGGGTGAAAGCCTTGGATCAAGGCGACAAGTCAAGATGATAGTTGAAAGGGAAGTGGTGCGATGTTTGGACAAACGCAACCTCCCACAGGATGACCTGGTGGCAGAAAACGTTTGCGGGAAAATCTGCAGGTGAGCCCAGATGTCAGATGGGGCCAAATGGGCAGGCAAGAATGGCTGAGGGGTGGATCATGCCTGAAAGAAGTGGTATGTTGTTAGGACGAACACAGCTTCCTTTTAAATTACCCAGCGAAAGAACATGCGGGGTGTTTACGCCTCTTACACATGGGGATTTGGCAGAAAACTCACAGAAGAGATCAGCTAGGCAGAAGAATGGTCAAGCTGCAGATCACATTTGGACAGAGGCTGTATGAGGTGAGCCACAGTGGCAAAGGGCCCTGAAGCGATCTTCTGGGATATCCCCAAAGAAAAAACATGGGGGGGGGGGTGAAGGACCCGGGGTGTGGAAATCATGGAAGTGTAGCAGGCTGATGGGGTCAGATGCCAGGGGTGCAGACTGGTGAGATGTGGCCGTATTCACCGGGACAGCTCCAGGAAGAGCTTGGGAGGTTCTCACCCGGTAGCGCCATTGTCTGGTTCATGCCTAGGTGCCCATGGTCTCGGAGAAGTCTCGGTTGTCAACTTGCCAGTGTTGTGGTCTGCCTTGTGCCTGCATGGCCCAGCACTGTAATTACTGGGACCACCCCAGATGATACTACGGAGCTGATGGGAGGGTGTAATGACTAATTCACACCTGAACACCCTTGTTGAAAGCTTGTTTGAAGGTGGTGGATCATGGCATAAGGTAGTCGGTGTGGGTGGTGTGGGGCTTCTTTCTGCGAGCTTTGAGAGCCATGCCCGTAGAGTGATGTACTGATGTACTGTATAATATTGCTAGGTGGCACGAGCTACATGGAATCAATGTTGGCAACCTATGAGCATGCAGTTACAAAGAGAGAGAGAAACCCCAACCAAAACGACAAATAACACACACTTGGAGAAATAATCAGACACTACAGTTTCTTATTATACAATTGATCAAGGTACCACAGGAAGGTGGAGTGAGAATGGAAACTTGAAGATGCCAAATATGACACGTCCATTGGCAATGGCACTAAGAAAAGAAGGATGAACATGGAGGCAGCACCACAATGCAGTGTGGTAATAGAGGGCGCAATACAGTTGATCAAATTTTTAGCAAATGGTAAAAGATGTGTGTTGGGATAGTGACTAGTGACTGTTTGGGTAGGATGAGAGTAGTCAACCTGAAGAATCAACTGTTAAACTTTTTTGAAAAGCATGCAAGAAAAAAAGGGTGGGAAAATTTACCTTTCAAGAAACAATGGGTGATATAAACAGGGGGTAAAAATAATTGTGGGGGTTGAGTATGAAGTGTCCTAATTGCAAATATTGCTACCTACATGTATGATGCTTTTGCCCAAATTCTAAGAAAATTATAGAATAAATGTTTGACCTTTGAAAACTCTGGAAGCCATTTACCAATACCATAATATTAACAATCAAATAAGGTAAGTTCTTTTTTGTTTTCTTTTTTTGGGGGGGGGGTTGCAACCTCCTCACCCCCAGATCCACCACCAGGTTTATCAATACCTTGAAACAAGCTCCTACATTTTCTTTCTGCTTACCGAACTCCCCAAATCCTGTCTGCTCTTTGAAATATATGCACATCTCCATCCGAGTCCACAGCAACCCCTGCAACCTGACCCAAGGTCAAGCCATTATCTGTTGGCCACCCTTCAACAATAGTCAGATCTGTAAATAAGTAGTAAATATATCATACATGTAGTTGTATTAATATTGGAAAAGCAAACTAGTAAATCACTAGCTAATGCTATTTCGGATCACATGCATTTCACAAGATTTATCATTTCCAGGGACAAGAAGTTTTATTTGAAGATGCAAACATCAGTCTAATACACCATCAGTCTAATACAACATCACAAGACTACCCAATAGGTTTCTTCAGCAAAATACCACACTACACATCTGTCAGTAATACATTAGTCACCAGAACTACATGTACATCACAGTGTGGACAAAAGTAAAAGGGCAAGAAATACTTTCTAAGCTTTTTCTCACCAATATGCTGCCAGTTTCTTATTCTGGAATTTTTGTTTTTGTTTAGCTTAAATTTTTTTCTGGTTAGAATCATTCTGCAGTTTTTAACCAGTTGAATGTGGCAAATAATGGGAACCCTCCCCCCGGGGTATAATTTTCAGCAAGAAATTTGCATAGCAAATCTGCTATACAAAATAATTTTTGCATGCCAGTTGGATCAACTTGTCTAGCAATTTCTTTTCATGTAATCGCAGTGTAAATTACAGGACACAATTTCAACATGACAAACAGCGCATGTGTGAGGATAATAGGGAGTTTAAGATTCCGCAATGTGCAATCTTGGTACGGCTTGCTAAGTTTTTTAGTGTGCATGCTCAGTTGCTGTGGCCAGTGTATCATCCTCAATGCAACCTCGACTCTATGGGCTACGTATGTGTAGTGGAGGCATTTTTAACGGGTGATTTTTTTTATTAGTACTTGCAGCCTGTATTAATATAGGGGTGGCACCCCTTGGTTTACCCAGTTGGAGTTGCAGTGTGTGCCCCCCTGGTGTTTATTTCATACTTAAGTCCATGTAGCATAGCTAAAGCTTCAGTAGCAGGTCAGCTGGCAGAGAGTAAACACTCATGTAACCTGGCATCCAAATCTGCCCTTGCTGTATTTAAGAATCGACCTGCAGTGGACTTGGTAAGTTTCTCCCTTTTTCTTTTTTTGTGAACATGATCATGTGCCGCTTTACTTTTTTTTGACATATTAAGGTTTAGCTCTATAATAGAGTCAAGTCAGCAGTTTTCCCTTGACAGAGATATAT